ACTCTAGAGAGGTCCCTGAAAGCAGATTTTCCCAATACAATTTGGTTTTTTATTTCCTGGCTTCTTGTACCAAGAGTGTTGACTGTGAAGCCAAGAAAGCTGAAGCTGTTAACAATCTCAGTCTTTTTACCATCTATCATGATGCTGCCAATTGGTCCAGTGGTGAGAATCTTTGTTTTCTTGATGTTGAGTTTCAATCCATATTTAAGGCTGAAGTATCTTTCATCCTCTGCAGCAAATGCTTCAGATCCTCCTCAGTTTTAGAAAGGTCGTGTCATCTGCATAACACAGATTGTTGATGGATTTTCCACCAATCCTGATACCATATTGCTCCTCATAGAGCCCAGCCTCTCGGATAATCTGTTCTGCATATAGACTGAAAAGGTATGGAGATAGGATGCATCCCTGGTGTACACCCTTCCTGATTTGGAACAATGCAGTGTTTCCTTGCTCTGTTCTGATAACTGCCTCCTGGTTCAAGCATAGGTTTCATATAAACACAATCAAGTGTTCTAGATTCCCATTCCTCTCAGAGTTAGCCACAGTTTGTTGTGATCCACACAGTCAAATGTTTTTGCACAGTGAATAAAACTCAGACATTCCTCTGGTACTCTCTGCTTTCAGCCAAGATCTACCTAGCATTGGCTATAAAATCCCTAGTGCCACAGCCTCTTCTAAACTCAGCCTGCACAACTGGCAGTTCCCTGTTGATGTGCTGTTCCAGTTGGTTTTGGATAATTTTCAGCAGGATCTTGCTTGCATGTGATATTAATGGTATTGCTTATTTCCACACTCTGTCGGGTCACTTTTTTGGAATGGGAACAAATAGAGATCTCTTCTAGTAAGTTGGCAAGGGGGGTTGTCCTCTAGATTTCTTGGAATAACCTGGTGAGCACAGCTGGTTGTTGAAGTATGTCAATTTATATGCCGTCAATTCCTAGGGCCTTGTTTTTCGCCAGTTCCTTCAGAGCAGTTTAAACTTCGTCCCTCAGCACCACATGCTCTTAATCGTATGTTGTTTCATGAAATTCTCAGCCAATTATTTTTCTTTTCCTTTTTTACCCCCCGCCCCCTAGCCAATTCTTTTTGGTATAGTGCCTCTCTGTATTCCTTCCATCTTCTTTTGATGCTTCCTGGAACATTCAACATTCTGTCCACAGCATGCCTAAGTATTGCAACTTGAGGCTTGAATTTTTTCTTCAGTTCCTTCAGCTTAAGAAATGCTGAGTGAGATCCTCTCTTGATTTTCTGACTCCAGATCTTTGCACATTTTGTTATAACACTTTGCTTTTCTGAGCTGCCCTTTTAAGTCTTCTGTTCAGCTCCTTAATATCTTGATTTCTTCCTTCTGCTTTGGCTTCTCGGCACTTAAGTGCAATATTCAGAGTCTCTCCTGACATCGTCTTGGCCTTTTCTTCTTCCTCCACCTTTGTAATGACCTTTGCATTCTTCATGGATGATATTCTTGATACCTCACCATGTATCTGAGCTGTTTTTGTTCTGCAACCTGAGAGAACCCAGCCCACAACACATCTGACTATCACAAGGTGGCCAATCTATTTCCATGCAAATCCCCATCAATCTTCACGTGCCACCTTTCCTGTGTCAACCCACCTGATGAAAGACAACAGACTGAACAGATATGTTTACTGCAGGTTCATGTGGAAACCCAGCAAGGATGCTGTCAGGGCATGCCCCACAAAGGTGATAAAATTGGGAGGGGTCAGAAATCAGAAGACTGACTAGCAACTAATTCCGTGTACTTGAGTAGCGGAGTCTTAACACCAGCTGGGATGAAAGGTTAGGAAGCAACTCGATTTGCACCGAGAACTCCCACAGGTCAGGCAGCACCAGCTGTCTCTAGAAGTCAATTGTTTGAAACTCTTCAAGAAGCAGTAAGACTTTGCAGTTGGAGATGGCACAGGATGAGTCAATGCTGGGTTGTCCACGAGTCACCAGCTCAACTAACCACGACAGAATGTTCTAGTAAATGATTACACTTTAGAGAGGTTACATGCTTTCAATCTCTGCTCCTTTCCCAACATTGCATCTTACCATTTTTAACTTGACAGGTGACAGTTTTTGCCAGCTAGTCTGTTCTCCATGGAAAGCATCTGCTCTGGTTCTGGGTGTGCTTGGTGAGGTCCTGGAGAGAAGTCCTGCGTCATGTTCTCAGCCCACAGCCCTGAACCAGATCAGAGGGTGACGCCTCCAGCTGAGAATGTGGAAATGTTCTTTGCGAAGGATGGTGGCAGCTGTCACCCTCAAGATTTCCACACCCTTCTTCCCCTTTTTCTTTGCTCTGCTCCTGTGAGTGCTGCTTGGTTTCCAATCTGCTTTAACGAAGATGTGGCCTGGGTGGTTTCCCTACCTCCTAACACGGACCCATCTTGTGTCCACCTTACTCTTTGTGGACAGTCACCCCCAGCAGTGCCCAGCCCACTGGGCACCTACTGTCTATGAAATGCCAGTCACTTAGGGAGGAAAGAAAGAAAAAATGGGGCTGAGGGAGGGAAATATTTTCTCTTTTATGGAAAAATCTGGTCTAATGAAGTTCATAATATGAAATGTTTGCTCTTCAACTAAAACCATGGTCTCGCAAACACTTTCAACTTCTCTTGATTGTTTTCAGTTTTCCTTTCTAAGGACAACTGTGAAATCAGGACCCAAATGCCATCAAAAGGACAAAGTGTGAGGCAGACAAGGATCTATACTATAGACAGTCTTCTCTTGCTCTGCCTTGATCCCAAGCAACGGTGGAAAGGAATTCAGGGAAAAGGGATGAGGGAGGTGTAAACTATTCTTTGTCTACAGGAAAAGGGAGTGTAGGCTCCCCGATGGCGTCCAGCACACTCGTATCCTCAGTGCTGGAGTCCTTCAGAGGCCGGTACAAACCACATCCCCAAAGCACAAGTCACTGTGCTTCAGTAGGTGGACAGGCTGGAAGCTGGGGGAAGCACCCCGTTCCCATTCACCAGCCTGAGAACAACTGATCTTAGGAGAATGGACCTAGAAAACATCTGTCAGCATTTTCAATTTATAATGGCTGTAACAATGGATCCTGTTGTCTGTAATTAAGACAGGAGTTCAAGGTCAGAACACTTAGCATTTAGTGCCACCTTGTGGTCAATTCCTGCTCCTGGCACCCCTCATCTGGTGGCTGGGAATTTCGGTTTTATTTTTCAATTACAGGGGAGAGCGCACACAGTCCCCATCTACCAGAGTATGCAGTCGAGTTTCCCACATTTGGGCAAACTGCAGGGTTCAGCACATCTGGAGTGCAATGGATAAGCCTCGCCCTGGGAAAAGCACCTTCGTGCTCATGGTTACCTCCCCGTCAGGTTAAGTGTGTGGCTGTGAGTCTTAATGGCTGGCCTCTCTTGCAGAGCAGTTGGGGGTCTGAAGTACAGACTTTTCCGTTAGTAACATGAGATAATGAACTATTGAAGAGCCACTGGCTGGTGAGCTCAGTGCAGCATTTGGACTTATCCCAAAATCACACTAACAAATGCTGGGCACTTGCCTGGTACTCGGTGGTAAACAGAGCAATGCTATGTGAATGACCTTTCTTCACTGACAGCAGCACACTAGAGACACTATTCATAGACTCTTCATGTCCTAAGAGACCTGAAGGCTGAGTGAGGCTCAGGAGGGCCGCCGATGGGCACTGGGCAAGTCCTCCTTGGAGATGAAACACGGTCTGACCATAGACTTGGTCGATGACAGCACATTATGCTGTCTCTCTATTAATACTGTCTGTATACAAGTTCATCCTGCAGTCTGAAGCTTAGTCTGACATACTTTGGACATGTTGCAAGGCGGGACCAGTCCTTGGAGAGGGACGTCACGCCTGGGAGGGTGGAGGGACAGGACAGGAGAGGAAGACACTCCATTGAGGTGGACTGATTCAGAGACTGGGGTAATGGGACTGGGTGTGTCAGACAGTGAGGTTGACACAGGACAGAGCAGGGTCTAGGGCTGTTGTACACAGGGTCACTGTGAGTCACAAGTGACTCGACGGCACGTAACACCACCACCACCACCACCACTCCACGGCAAGGATGACAGAAGAGCTGAGACCTGTTTGTGCCTCTGGCAGTCCATGGGATAGTCAGTCCCCTTCTCCACCACCACAGCTCAAACGTGTCTTGGAGAAATGGTGCCTAACAATGGAGAAGGGCGCTCTGGGGGCTTACTGGAGTTGAGCTGTCAACCCAAAGGCTGTTCCTGATGGTGGTGCATTTATCTACTGCTAACACCAGCAATTAATGCTGATGTTAATGCCTGATGGTAATGCGCTTATCTACTAACCAAAAGTTTGGTGGTTCAAGTATGTCCCTGGAAGGTTGAATTTGCTTTTCAATTCTTTGAGCTTGAGAAATGCTGAGTGGGTTTTTCCATATTTACTCTGCACTATAGACGAGATCTGTACACTTCGACATGCTGTCAACTTCACACAGTGTTACAGAAATAGAGAGGTTCTCAGGAAACAGCACGACATGTCCCCAAGTGAACACTCTTACCCCCACAGTCCTCCACACACTACGGCAGCATAAGGGTGACGGGGTGAGGGATGAGGCCAGCCTGGGCCCACTCCACAGCTCCCACTTCCCCCCGCCCCCTGCCATCAGCACTCAGCATGCAAGCCCAGGTGTGGGTCCCACGGCCACAGGAGAAGACGTCCGGGAGGGGTGCTCTGAGGGACTGGGGCTGAGGCTGGGAGGGAGCCAGGAGAACACATCCTTGCATTCCCCTAATGGGACCGGTGAGCTAGCAAGGGCCCCAGGCCCCACCAGGCCCTTCTCTCCTGCGTGGACCCTCGGCCCATCAACATGGCAAGATTACCTTCTTCCATGAAACACTGCTGACTCTTTAAGGCCTTACCATTTTATTTGCAAACCTATTATCATTTTTTAAATATAAAAATTAGACAGGCTCAATAAAACCCTTTTAAATTACAAAAATACACAAAATAAAAGACTGCCTCTGTACTTCTGTCTTCAAGGGGAGGCGCACACACGCCCTGGGGAGAGGTCAGGGCTTGGGGCTCGGGCCTCAAGGGGAGGCGGCTTTGGAAGCTTTCGGAACTTGCTCTGAAGAAACACCCTGGGCACAGACAGGCCTTCTTTTCTGTTCACCGTCTCCCGGAGCACGTACTCGTTCAGCACCTCCTCGTAGCCTGAATCCCTGAAGAGGCGGGCCAGGAACTCTGGAAGACAAGAGGCCGAGGGTGCTCAGCACCTTAAAGGCCCAGCATCACCCTGCGGCGAGGAGGGCTGCAGGCTGACGTGGACATGCGCGTGTTTTCTACAGGAAAGGGAATGTCAGTGTTACCTCGGGAAGGTTCGGAGAGCCCTTCTCAAGTACGGAAGATGCTTCTGTGTCTTACATATCCTCTACAGCCAAGCAGAAACCTCCATTTCAACAAGGCGCGATCTGAAGCAGACCAACCTGAGTACATGCACTTTGTTCTAACGTCGTTAGGTGTTATCAAGTATAACCCATAGCGACCCTACAAACAATAGATCTGAATCCTCTCCTATCCCGTGCCGTCCTCACACTTCCTGACACACTAGCGTCCACTACGGCAGTCACTGTATCAATCCACCTGGTCAAGGATCTTCCTCTCCTTTGCCGACCCTCTGCCTTTCCAAGGACCCCTCCTAGCAACATGTCTTACGTGGTGAGGCGAAGCCTTATCATCGGGCTGCCCTTTACCAAGAAATATTGTTTTATTCTTCTGGCAATCACAGGATGTTCAGTGCTCTTTTCTAACACCACAGGTTAAAGGCGTCGATTCTTCTTCCATCATCCTTTCTCAATGTCCAGCTCTCAAACGTGTAGCAAGTGGTTAGAAAAACCAGATGCACCGCAATCCTCAAACTGACATTCCTCCTCAATAATCTGGCGGTCTCTAACTGCAGACTTCCCCAGTGTAGTACGTCTCCTGATCTCCTGACGGCTGCTACCAAGTGTACTGACTGTGGATTCACCTAAGATCAAGCCGTTGGCAGTTTCAACTTTTTCTCCATCCATCACGATGTTGCCTATTGGTCCAATGGTAAGAATTTTTGTTTTCTTGATGTTGAGATGCAATCCATACTGAAGGCCGCAGTCTTTGATCTTCTGCAACAAGCGCTTCAAGTCCTCCTCACTTTCAGCAAGCAAGGTTGTGTCATTTGCATAACAAAGGTTATGGCTGAGTCTTCCTCTGATCTTGACGTCACACTCTTTTTCAGAGTCCAGCCTCTCGGATAATTAGCTCAGCATACAGACTGGGTAGGTGTGGAGAGAGAATAAACCCTGACACACTTCCTTCTCAGCTGTAAACTGTGCAATGCTCCCCTGCCCTTCTTGACAACAGCCTCCTGGTCCAGGTCTCGCATGAGGATAATTAAGGGACTCCCGTTCTGCGAGGCGTCAGCCACACCTTGTCACGACGCACACAGTCAAATGCCTCTGCATGGTCAATAAACAATAAAGGAGACATTCTTCTGATAGTCTTCACCTTTTTTTGCAATATTAAAGAATTTTTTTAAAAGTTCACTTTGTCCTAATTTTAAGCCCAAATTAAAAAATCTGAGAGGAATAAAAACTTAAAACACAAAATTCCAAGTTGGCTGATTTCTACCAGGTCATGATGGGTTTCTGACAATGTGTTTACACCGAAGGACTCGCTGACCCTGATATAAGCAGGAGGGGCTGTGAGCAGAGCAGGAAGGTCACAGGATGGACAGTGGACGCTGCGTCCCCGGGAAGTTGAACCCACAGAGGGCGTCTTAACTGAGTGATGAGCATCTGAGGACTGGCCTGTGGCCGGAAGCACGGGTGCTGGACATCACCACACTGCCCTCCCCACCTGCAGCACAGTGACTGGACAAACTAAGGAGATGGAGGAGCAAGAAGAGAGCGCATGATGAGGTCCCGCCACCTTACCATTGGTGAAAAAGTACGACCTGGTGCCGTCTTGCCGCACGTAAAAGTTTTCTCCGAGCTTGCTGCCGTTTTTAAACCTCAGCATGGCATGATCGTACAGCCCATAGTCACGGAACAGGACGCACTTGCCTGGTTTCAACACCTACAGTAAAAGAGGCTACAATTACCTGTGAGGAACATGTCAATGGAGCAAACTGTCAAAACAGGACCTGGTTAATTTGAGGAGTAAAACGACTGCACACATGTAATCATGGAAAGGGCCAGGCTGGAATTCAGGTAGTCTTCAGGTTAGGTAAAGCCTTTATATTAAAAATTCCTAGAACATCAGTTGTTGTTAAGTGCCATCGAGTCGTAGGTGACTCATAGCGACCCTATGAAAGAAAGGCCTGGACACCTGTATAATTTTGGTTGTTTTCTCCAGGTTCATAGGGTTTTCAGAGGCAAGCTATTACAGAAGTGGATGCTACTCCTGCTACCAAGCTTGTTTTAATCGGCGAGCTCCACCAAACACTGTCCACCAGGGGTAACCATTCTCACATCTGACACATCAGTGTCACAGTGTTCAGCTTCACAGCAACCACGAGTTACCTCTGTACAGCCATGTACAGACCAGGGTTACATGACCTAGAAGAATGTTTTACCGAAAACAATTCAAGGCAGGCCTGAGGGCTGCGGAGCAGTCACCCACCTTTGGCTTGGGAGCATGGCTTTCTGCCCACTAGGCCAACTGCTCTCTGTCTATACTGTTGCTGTTGTTAAGTGCCGTTGAGGCCCAGGTGACACAGAGTGACCCTACGTACAGTACTTTGTAATAAATAAGGGGCACCCTTTGTGACGCACGTTCATAGCGTTACTGCATTATCATGTTGGAGAGGTTTCAATGTACCGGGAGCACTTTTTGGACTTCTTTACACCTGGTGAAAAGGTATACTATACGCGAAGACACAGGAGCGGCTGGCTTCAGGTAGTAGCCACACCTAACTGTTCTGATCCATGTAGATTCAACTTGAAGACAGACTGAGAGTATAAACTCCTGTGTGATGTGGAGACGGCCTGCACCCATGTACCTGCGAAGGACATGTCCATCAGAGACCACAGTGCACGGCTGGCGCACCACGATGGCACACGCAGGATCTGCTGTCGTGCGAGGCAGATCCACCGACAAGACCAACTAAAGACACAAGACCTGGGAGGAGGGGAGGGCCCAGGCGCACCAGGCACACAGTACTCTGTCCCCCAGAGCACTCCGGAAGGCCCGCTGTCACCCCGCTGCACCCTGCACACACAGCATTCGCTCCTGGGAGCCCTCCGAGACCTCCGTGAAGCAAGGCACTCTCCCTGTCATCAGCCTCTCTCTGCGCCCTCCTCCTGTCTCGAGCGGCTGCTTTAACTGTGTGTCTGTCATTCTGCTTCTGCTCCCTGAGTCCCACTAAGGTTCATGCTACGTGACTACAATCACGGACAGCTCCCCACGACGCTGGGAACTGAGCTGTGTCCACACTCGACATCTCATCTGGTGTCCTCTCACCAGATGTACACGGCACGACAAGTCAGGGAGGCCGTGATCGTGATCTCTGGGAACAAGTGGACACTGCCCAGGGTCACACCAGCCACGAAGTAGGAGTGTCAGAACTCACAGTACCAATAAGACGGAGGCTCAGAGCACAGGGGTCAGGTCGGGGGACCTCATGGGTGAAGAGGGTGGTCCTGGGGGAGTGTCGGTGGGGGTGAGTCCCACTGCAGAGCCTCTAAGATCCGAACAGGGTCAGGATGCGGCAAGCCCAGTGGGATGGTGAGTGGAATCACCCCTATTTTCTGTGGCAAAGCGTCACAGGCTTCTCAAAAAGGAGACAGCACGTACGGTGCACTTGCTTTTCGATTCCAACTCTGAATTTCAGAGGGTAACACATCAATTTCACACGTGTCCCGTCTCAACAAGAAGGCTGTGAACACACTCTGAAGTGGACACGTGCCCTTCCGGTGAGCAGGCGTCTCCTGCTCTGAAGCACGGCTGTGCTGCCCAGTGTCTCCCCGTTTCTGACCAGTCTGAGCACAGGGCCCATGCCACACTCCCAGCCACTGCTGTAACTGACAGAGGCACCTCAAGGCAGAGTCAAAGGAGGAGAAAAGCAACTTCACCTCGGTAAGGAACAGTCCATTATAAAGTGAGTAACCAACAAGGGACTATGAAAAAATCCCATTCACATGAGAAAACGCCCCTCAGAATCTGGAAATCTTAACTCAGCTCTTCCGTGAACTCGCTGCATGGCTGTAATTAGACCCTCTGCCTCTGGCTCCAGTCTGTAAAACACCAAGTCTGAGCTCTGCAGTGGTCTGAGCGCTGACGTGGTGCTAGGTCCTCCCCTGGAGTCCCTGGCGTCCCGCGCTCTCAGGCTTGTCAAAGCCCCAGAAGCAGCCAGGCGGTACCTCCATGTCCCTCAGCGTGAAGTAACGGGCCTGGGATCTCTGCAGCTGACAGACCAGGGAAGCTCAGAATCCAGAGGGAGACGTGGTATATTTTGACCCCAAACTTCTGGTCCCAAGCCCAGGTACTCAGGCTGTCCTCGGATCTAAAATTCCACGGCTATTTAATTTCTCCCGAGTGTGGCTCTCACAACCAGGATCCTCAGAAGGGCTCCAGGCAGGGAGCAGCCAAACATCAGAGGCTGGGCCTCCCTGTCCCTTGGGGACTCCTGACAAAACCTGTAACTTCAAATTCATGAACCAGTCACCATGACAACAGAGAAAAGCAGTTTGACTTTGTGCTGTGAACTCCTCCCAAGTGAGAAAAAGGTCTCTATCAGGGGAATGACAGTGGACAGAGAAGGGAATGGGATTTACTCCTGTTCAGCCTTGGTGCTGTGAACCCATCCTAAGAAAGAAGGTGGCAGCCAACAGGGGACAAGAGCAGATAGAGGCGGAGATGGGATTTACCACTTTATAAAGCCCCCCGGACAGCGGGGCCAGGAAGGCAGAGGCCGGGCCTCTCAGGAACCGCACACCCCCAGCGGCTCCCCGGGAGCAAGGCGGCCGTTCCCGCAGAAAGCCCAGAGGCTCGGCCGTGTCGGTCCGACTGGACGGCATGGAGCCTGAATCTGAAACGTCACGGAACACATCTGCTGGACGGCGTGTTCAAGAACAAGAAGATCTGAGGTAATCCTGTTGACAATGGCGTTTGCCCGGGTCAGGGAGCACGGGGCGGGCCCGGGGGCAGCTCCTCTCTGAGGGGTGCTGACTGAGCGTGTGCACACGGAAAACCTGTCCAGCCGCACACTGAAACCTGACTACTTACTGCGTGGACGTTAAACTCCAAGAAAAGGCAAAAAGACATGGAACACGTGAACTCCACACTGGCACTGCCACCCAGCTGAAGAACTAAAATACCATCAACTCTTCCTATGGCCCAGGGCGGCCTCCTCGTGGCCAGACGTTCTAATAAGAAGAAGGAGGGCGTAACAATCACCACGCAACCATTACAAGGACTGACTTTCCAGAGGACGCCCTGCGGTCCAGGTGCTGTGCTAACACGCGTCCGTACACCTACGCCCACTCACAGCATCCTGTTATGTCACTCACCGGACGACACACTCTGAAGAGCGGGCCGGCCACTGTGCGGGGAGGACCCAGGGTGGACGTGTGAATCCTCTCCAGGCACCGATCACACAGCCCCCAGGGAGAACGCTCACTCCAGACGTCCGACGGATCAGGAGCCTCGGAGAGCAGACAGAAACGAGGGCGCGGGGTTCTGCCCTCCAGGACAGGCCCAAGCTGCTCACCTTGTAAACGTTTTCCAGGACAAGGTGCATCTTGTCGGGATGGATGGCCGAGAGCACGAATATGAGGGTGACGACGTCCACAGACTCGGGGGGCACGTGCTGCAGGAGGTCATCTCGGGTCAGGTCACACTGGAACACGTGGCATCTTTCTGCGTCATAGGAGGAGTTTTGCTAGAGAGGTAAACAACACAAAGAAAGCCACAACCGTCTTAACCCACCAACCCTGTCACTGCAGACAGTCGGCCCTCAGCAGGTGTCATACGGGAGGAGCCGCGGGTGAATTCAAACCTCCAGAGCGCAGCAGCCTTTGAGGTGAGCAGTGCAGCTCCCCACGCACCGCGTCACCAGGGCACTGGAAGGAGGCCCGGTCTCCACTGTGTAATGCTGCACAGAGGCACCGGTCAGGGTGTTACTGAACAGGCTAGGGGGCCATGTGCATAGAACGCACATAGGATTTAATCCTCTATGAGAGCTAAGGTTTCATAAGCAAGTCACTTCTAACATCTAAACTGGTGAGACAATGCAGTCCACCACGTATCCAAAACTAGCCTTTTAGAGGCGTTTTCTCTCCAGAGATCAGGCCGCCTCTGCCTCCTCAACCCTCCTTGAAATCACTCCATATAAGCCCATCTGTGGAGAAGCCCCTCCAACTCCACTTATCTAGACGTTCACATAACATGCTTGAGTATGAGGGTCCAACCGTCCTGCTCCAGTAAGCAAAACAAAAATTCTCAATCAGTTATCTGGACAACTGGGTTCCTAGTACATTCTGCCTGCTGACCTCTGTCACACACTGACGAGTATTAAAAAGAAAAATATTGCCCATCAACAAACAAATGGATGGAAAAACTGTGGGTAGGTATATATAAGATATATATAAGCACATATATTTCTTTTCATACAACGGAATACTATGCAGCACCAAAAAACAATAAATAAAAATTACACAACATGGGGGACCCTGGAGGACCATCATGCTGAGTGAGATACATCCATCACAAAAGGACAAATACTGAGTAACACCACTGTTATACAGTAGGTCTGACATGGGGGATTGAACGTCACCACTAGGAACAAGAACCACCAAAAAACCGCTGTCAAGATAGTCACAGAAACAGAGGGCTGTAATAGACTTTTCTGCAGACCTGATACCGTCTGGACAAGAAGCCAAGAGCTTGTAGACAGACACAGAAAAGAGATGAAATGAAAATTAAAAGGGGGAAGAGAAAACAGCAGAGCAACAGACTGTGGAAGGCATCAAACTCTACAACATAGACATAACTAGACTCTCAGGAGGAAAAGGAGAAAGAATGGGACTGAGAGACCTGGAGAAAGCACAGTGGGACCTTCCAGACGCCAGCAAGTCCCACCTAGCTGACGGGGAGTCCCAGCTGACGGGGCGCTGGCACCACGGGGCTCCTGGGCTGTCAGCTGCACAGGAGGTGCTGTCCACCTCTCCTGCAGACTGGCTGCATTTGAACCACCAGACGTGCGACCTTGGGGTTATCAGCACAATGTTCCACAGAGAAGGTCACCAGAGAGCCAACCAACATTTTCATAAAACTCTCTATTGTTCCTACATGCCGTCAAGTCGACTGCGACCTATAGCGACCCTGTGCACAGCAGCTCTGAACCCTGTGCTGAGCCAGTCTCACTGACTCCACACACCTAATCCCACTGCCCCAGTTAGCGTGTCAATCCATCTCATCCAGGGTCTTCCTCTCCTGCCCTGTCCCTTCACCCTCCCGAGCATAATGTCCTTCTCTAAGGACTGGTCTGCAAACCCGCTGGAGGGTCAGCGCGGCGTCAGATCCGACTCATGCCTGCACGTTACTGACACGCTCTGGTGGTGCCGTCCGCACCCAGCTTCACTGCCACCCAGAGGCGGCACTACCTCTGGTGGCCTGAACCCATCGGCTGCACCTGGGCAGAAAGACAGCTCGGTTCCTCCTGTTCATTAACGGGAAACCCAACGGAGGATCAGCTAGGAGCAGGTTCAACACAACAGCTACCAGAGAGAGAGACTGATGGCGCTCTGACAGTGCAGAGTATAACACACAGAGACACTAGGCAGCAGACTGGCAGTTCAAATCCACCATCTCCTAACAATTTAGAGAATCAGAAACCGGATGGAGGGCTCTGAGTTGGCACCAACTTGATGGCAGTGGGCTCGAGATTACTGATAGAATTAAACACTGGTGGGATCTTTTTGGGTGGTTTCCATCCCAGCTACTATTACAACTCCCAGTGACCCTGAGACCAACAGACCTGAACCCTGCCCTGCCCTGTGCCGTCCTCAAGATCTCGCAAAGGCTCGAGCCAGTGTCAGTCCCGCCTGGTGAGGGTCTTCCCCTCTTTCTCTGACCCTCCACCTTTCCCAGCTTACTGGAATACTGCACCAGGGAAACAAAACAAGACCTGGAGACAGTAACATGAAAAATGTGAATGTGAAAAAAGCAAATCTTCGTCTAAAATGTCATCATTACCATTTTACATGGCCTAACATGTTAAACTTGTAAAAACCTGAAAGGAAACTGGGTACCTGAATGCTGCCAAAGCATCCCCACCTGTGCGTTAATGGCACAAGGTTAATCTTTTATAACGAAGGAGCAGGAAGTTGTGCCCTCAACCCAGTGAGTGAAATGAGGGTTACTAAGAGCGAGGTCACCAGGCATTACGGCCTCGTGCATTTCTGTATTTAATGTACAGAAAGAGGAACATGGAAGCACATGGCTGAGCGGGTGAGCTCTGGAAGAGGACGGCGCCCACTCCCCCGCAACTCAAACCCACTGCAGTCCAGCCAGCTTCCGGCTCACAGGAATTCCTCATTCGGCTTCAGAGGCTGGAACGCTGCACGGAAGGAGAACGTGCAGTGCTCCCCTGAGCAGCGGCTGGTGCCACCGTGCCCCCAAGGCTCCTCAGACTCTGCACTGGGGTGGTTGTGCTGTCAAGTCGGAACTGACCCATAGCTGACCCTCCAGAGAGTTTTCAGAGACAGGAAATCACACGGGCGGAGGACAAGCAAGCCGAACAGGACAGGAGCATGACAGAACACACGGGCAGGGCACCAACCTTCACATACTCAACCGCTCTCGGAGAGAAATCGCAGGCATAGGCAAAAATGTTCCGATCTTCTTCTAACAGCGGGAACAAACAGTTCCCAACTCCACAGCCAGCTTCAAGCATGGTCAAGTTCTGATTTTCAAACTGGAGAAGAGAACTCAAAGTCACAACACATCACGTTTGCGTAACGAAGAAACAAACTAAGCAGGTCTACGAGATGAGACAGGAGTGGTCAACAAGCACGCAATCCCACGTGCCAGGCAACCGTGAGCGAGGGGGAGCTGGGTGTGGAGGAAAGGCAAGTCCAAGCTCCTGCGTTCAATCCCACGCCTCTGTCCCCTACCCCTCTGACTCCCTGCTCTCAAGCCGTTCCTGGGCTAACCATCAGAATAGCTTTGCTCCTCAATTTCATCTGCAAATGCAGGTAAAACACCTCCTTTACCACGCGATCACAAGCCTAAATTAGAAAGCACGTGGAAGTTCTCAGAAAAGGGTCAGAGCAAGAGCTCACTGACACCGACTGGGCCCCTTCACATGCCACTAAAATCACTCAGTGTGAAGATAATGTTAATAATTTTAACATTAAGTTTAAAAGAAACAAAAACCTCCCACTAGCGTGCCTTCTCCTGTGCATTACACATCCTCGCCAGGGTTGACACGACATGAGACCCAACAGCACACCTCTCTCCCAAGGTGCAAGGCATTTTAATAGGCTTCACCCAGCCTCCGCTCCACCTTCCTCTCAGGCGTCAAACAAGGTGTGACCATCAGTGGTTTTACACGGAAAAGGGCTCAAATGGAGCGCAACGTGCGCTCACCTCTCTACACGACCGCAGCTCTTCAAACTCTCTGGTGGTCCAGTGCCTGTCTTTGAAGAAATTCGTACTATTTCTTTTGTAGAAAAGGTCCCAGTTCCTCTGAGCTTCTTTCTCCAGCTTCTGCTGCTTGAAATCGGACACCAAAGCTTGTTCTCGTGTCAGTTTCTCCTCTTCTTCAGGGCTGAGACTCCTCGCCTGCGGCCCTTTCCTTTGCAAAGATGCCATGTCCTCAGCTCAGAGTCCTGCATGCAGCACCACTGACGAGTCTCCCCTCCTCACAGTCTGGGCGATCTACGCTGCGTACGCAGATCTCAGCTGTGCTTCCCGATGCCAGGTGCCCGCTTCAGGCAGCATGCACGTTCCTGCACAGAAAAGGAGACTTGGGCTAGACATTCTCAAACAATGCTTTAGGTTAAACTCTATCAAGAACTTACTGGACGCTGACCCTACACGGAACTCTATCCCAACACAGGGGGTTCCACAGGGCACCTGCTGGGCTCCATCTTTCCACCCTGCTGTGTCTGCTCGTCCATCACTGCGCCGGCGCACAGAGACACACTCTGCACTGGTGGTTGTTGTGTGCTGTCAAGTCGGAACTGCCCCACAGCTGACCCTGCGATGGGTTTTCAGATACTGTAAATCACATGGGAGGAGGCTGTCTGTCCTCCCGCGGCAGCTGGCGGACTCGAACTACGTGCCCTTGGGATTACCACTAGGCTCCCAGAGCTCCCTTCTGCACTGGTATGGCCTCAGTAACCTCACCAAAGACACACTTTTCCCAAACAGAACTACACCCACGGGCAAAAGAAAGGCACAGCACTTGGGTTCCTATTGCCTCTTCCACAGCCACGGAGTCAATTCTGAATCCGGGGGTCTTCTCCAGGGCTCCCAACGGTGTCCACCGTTACAGGAGAAGCCTGCATTTTTTTCTCCAGCTAAGAGGCTGCCATGGAGCTCGGACTAGGAGCCTAACACTGTGCACTGTCCAGGCTCCTGTACCCACTGCCCGTGGATCTTGCTGGACACCAAACAATGGCCCCCAAAGATTTTCTGAGGCTGCAGTCTTCACAGGTAGCCTGCCCCGTCTCTGTCCTGCAGCAGGTCTGACAGCGGCCACCTGCTGACCCTGCAGGGGCAGTGGAGGGGACTCCTCCCCGGGCATGTCCTGGTCAGGTGCCACGGACTCACAGCGACCCTGTGAGCAGCAGCTCTAGCCCCTGCTCTGTCCTGTTCCATCCTATCAGAGAGCGCTGGTCCTGGTGGAGGGTCCTCCTGTCCTTCCACCAGCTCTGGACCCTGTGCAGGAGGCCGCGGTGCCAATCGGCCTGGGGGAGGGTCCTCCTGTCCTTCCACCAGCTCTGGCCCCTGCTCTGTCCTG